AACATCATCCTCCAGCGGCTCACTCTCGTGCAAAGCCGACGATCGCAAAAGGGAAACCCCCCTTCAAACTCATCGGCCAGATCCACCTGCGATCCCCACGAGCTCATTCCCTTCCGTGATTCAGCAGCGGCGGGTCCTGAATCGCGGGAAGCAGATGGCTGCCCCTCTTTCCTCGAAAAGAGACAAACGAGAGCGGAACTTTTCCCTTGGAAAAAACGCTTGCAGTGCACGCCGATTGCCCCCTCGGAGACATCGCGTGCGTGCTCTTTGCCCAAACAAAACAACGCATAGATCGTGTGTGTCATCAGATGTTAAACAACGTCAACACGGATGCACACATCCTTAAACACTTTGCTAGTGCTCGCCATAATGATATGAATAGAGATCGCTCTTACCACAGAAATGCACGCTTCAAACAAAACAGTCAATGAAGACGAAGAAGAGAATGATGTGTAGCTCCCAGCGCCTATTTATACTATAGTCGCACCGGTAGTGACGTCATGGCTGTCGCCGGCCAACGAGTTGGTGTTTTTTTCAATGTATGCTTCAGACACGGGTCACGACGAGGCGTTCCCCATAGCGACCCCTAGAGGACGCAGTTCGAAGTTCCCATGAAAGGGAACAATATTAAATATGTTCACCATGGTCCATTTATGTACATAATAATCAATAATAGAATAAACAACATAAAATCACATTTTGGTAAGATATAAGTAGACATTTAATCGCTTTATATTTTGTATTTTTTTCATGTCATTACAGTATTCAAGTAAGTCGAAACCCAATACTTACATTTAAAGTGTAATTCGGTAATTAAAAGTCAAAAACTAAAAATTCAGGCTCCAGTTGTTTTAATTTTCATTAACTAATAACATCTATGGCAGCTCTCTTCTCGCACCATTGCTACGCGACAGGAGCGGCAATCGGGAACACCTGCTGGCGCAATCAGGAAATCCTGCGAAGGCTAGACTCGGAGCATCCTTTGAAGACTGTGTTGGCCACATCCTTTGAAGGACCCGTCCTCTGAAGGATGCGATCTTTGAATTGGGACGCAGCTATAGCCCTCATGTAGCCTTTGTCTTTTGCCGTGTATTGATGTTGTAACCTGCTGTTGATGAGTCAAGTCTGTTCATGCCAAGTCAAGTTTCTGTTTGGATTATGTGTCTATTTTGTATTTGTATTTGTACTTTTGGAATAAAGCTGCACTTGGGTTCTTAAACTCGCCTTCAGTGGACCTATTGTTACAAGTGTCAATTTGAAAGTGATGTGACTTGTAGCCAAGTGGTAACCCATGCTCTGCTTTTATCCCATCCAAACACACACACCCAGAGCAGTGGGCAGCCATTTTTACTGCAGCACCCAGAGAATTTCTTAGCATCTATTTCCATGGTGACTCTTCAATTTGTCACTCTGTTCTGGATTAATCACAAGAATTTATTGTGTTTTCACTGTGAACCTCTGAGTTGACTGAACATACTCCTGGATGTGATTTTGAAACCACCTCATGTAAACAAGGTTTAATTGACAACCGAGATAACAGGGTATATGCAACGGTAAATGAACCTTGCTTTCTGGAATATGCCCCAATATGTAATAAAGTCTTATCTTCACAGGATGGGTGTCTGCTTTTACAAACTGCGAAGAAAGCACAGTTTATGGTACTGCTTATAAGGCACTTTTTGAACATCTCGGCTTGAACAAGACTGACGTTCCAAAAACCCACCAACTGCCCTACTACATGGACCCTCCTACTGAAGTTTATGTGGACCTGTATGTGACATCCATCATAGAAGTGGTATGAATCCAGCATGATTTATCTTCTTATACAAGTCATGAGTGTCAGACAGTTGTAATGTCATCATTTAACACTTAATTTATCTGCAGAATGAAAAAGCCCAGAGCCTCTCAACACAGGTCAAAATGATGACTAAGTTTTTTTTTTTTTGTTACGATATGTTGCTCTTATTTAAATGTTTCTCGGTTTATTTAACTCTTGCATTCTAAGAAGTTGCTTCACCATTTGTATTGTTCCTAATTTGTTTTGAGTGATTAGCTTTATGTATTGGTAATGCTAAACCACTATTTTTTAAATCTCACTTGGTTTTACCACAGCTGGTTTTTGTGTCATGGCCCATAAACAATTTTGGTTATACAGGTGATTACAGAACCCCAGTGGTGGATGAAGTACACTTAAATATAAATATAATTATACTTAAATATAATTACATATACCCTAAACATTATTACTCCAGTAAAACTATTAAGTACTCCACTTCAATTTTGGTTGAGTAAAATACACACTATAGTGTTTGTGTGTAAATATGGTGACAGCATACAATGCTTGAATATTTGAATTTGATATGTATGTATGTAGGTAGGTAGGTACACTCTAAAAAATTATGGCTTAAAAACAACCCAACTTGGGTTATTTGGCAACACAGCGCTGGGTAAATATTGGACAGAACACATGCTGGGTTATTATGACCCAGCTGGTTGGGTTAAATTTTTTAACCAAACATGCTGGTTTGTTTTATTTAAGTCATCTATTGTTTAAAAACTGTTATATTGCTGGCTTAAAACAGACTGGAAATAAAAAATAAAACACACACACACACACAGAATTACTAGAGGCAACAGCAATAATCAAAAGATGAACATTTATTATTAAGTAAGAACACCCATGGACAAAATAAAAGAGAAATTGAATTTATTTGGGTGAATACAGTATAGTTTACAATATTACATTTAAACTCGTTTAACAAGTATTTTAGACATACAAATTGTAACATTTAAAAGTAGCATTTTAATTCTCTGTAATCGCTTTTCACCGAAATAATGCTAATTCTCATGCCGGTGTGTCGCTGAAATCTGAGCTGGTGAAGGGCTGCTGTTCGTAGCTGAAAGATGCCATGACTGACTCCAAAACCTGCCCATAAACAAACAGTACTGATATTAGAGAACATATTTTAACATCAAATTAACTTAAGCTCAGTACTATAACGAATAAAATCCATTTATGTTATGCAAGGCAAAAACATTTACATCATGCAAAGTGACCGCTGCTGACTGACATCTCGTCCTTATGTTGTGTTGCGTAAAATAATACAATTTACAGCACAGTAAAGACTTTATAAATGAAATAAAATGTATACAAACCTTTATTTCGCTGAAGAAGTGCACCAAATCAGCGGCGCTGAGAACCGCTCTCTCCTAGAGGACTCAAAAAGCCCACGCTCTGACTATAAGTCAGCAGCTGGGTTGTTTCATCGGAGACAGGGTCAAACCAGTGGTTGGGTAGGAAAAAATAACCCAGCGTTAAAAATGACCCAGCAACTTAATTACAGAAAAACTACCCAGCATCTGGGTAAAAATATTAAAATATTAAAAACAACCCAATAAAATGACCCAACGAGCTGAACCCAGCATTTGGGTTAAAAAATAACCCAGCATTTTTTAGAGTGTATATGTATGTACACTATATTGCCAAAAGTATTGGGACACCCCCTTCTAATGATCAGGTTTGACTACTTTAGTCATGTCCATGAGTACAAATCTTAATGTTTAAGCAATAATATTCTAGGGAATTGTGTTATTCTAATTTCATAGCAACAGTTTGGACAGGACCCTTTTCTATTATAACATGACAATACCTCTGTGTATAAGGCAAGGTTAAAAAAGAAATTATTGATTCAGTCAGTGTGGAAGAACTTGACTGTCTGCAGAAAGCCAAGTCCTAATCCCAGCTGAACACGTGTGACTTTAAATGCAGACCTTGAGCCAAAAACTCATCACCAAACACCAATGACATATAAATAAAGTTAGGAGTATGACATGTTTTATTTTTATTTTTATATAGCCTGCACACAATAAGAACAAAACTGCGCCTTTGTAAAACAAAGAAAACAAACAGGATGTGCTTATTTTTTTTTACTATGGCAGTTACATGTTGTAACTCAGTCACTAGCATTCATAAATCTTTTGCACTTTATAACATCCAGCTCAGTCACTTATGAAAAGATAAACAGTAGTTCATCTGAGCCTAACAATGTAAACCTTCTTCTGGATTCAACAATTAACTGACATCAGCTACAAAATCGAATGTAAGTTAGAAAATCGTAAACTGAGAAAATGTCAACGTGTCTGGAAAGAGGTTTGTTAAAATTATATTTACATTCCGCCTGGTCATGTGCTGAGTCTGAGAAGTGGCGTCTTTCACTTGTTGTGTTGGGCCACATTGCAGGAAGAAAGGAGCTGGGTTCCATTTAAACAATCTTGAACACAAAGGTTGTGGACAATGAACTCCTGAGCACTGGGAAGGTCCTTGGTCTTGAACACACAGATTAAGGAGCCTTGAATGTGAAAGTTCTTAAATCTGTGCAGAAGATCTGGACGATCTGTAACACACAGATTGAGGATCCCCGAAGAAAGGATTCTGAAGTTGGCGCAGAAGATTGATGCAGAGATTGAAAACTGAACATAGATTTTTGAACACTGAACATAAATGTGCTGTTAAAAGAAAGATGAATTTCATCTGGGTTTCATAATAATTAAGAAAAAAAATCATACTGAAATTTATTCAAAATTTCCAAAAAAAGAAAGCTGCAATGTATCTCTGTATAACAGCGCAGATATGCAATGACTTTGCTAATAAGAGGACTCTATAAAAGCTGTTTATTGTGTTTGAACTGGTTTTGAGGACAGCACACTTGGCATTGCTCGAGGATTTCACTGTGCATGCTCTCAGGCAAGAGTGTGTCTTTAGCGTGCATCATATGCTGAGATACTGAGGTGTCCATAAACGCCTGTATAACTGAAATTTGTTGTTGGTCATGACACAAAGATGACTGCTTTGGTAAAAAAAAAAAATACTGGTGATTTTGCAATACAAATGCATAGAGTTTTTGAAGAAAGAAAGACAAATGGTACAGCAACCAACTTGAGAAGGACTGGCCCTTTGATGATCACCGTGAACCTTATATTCATAACTTTGCAGGCTTGGATCAATAACATGGAGTGGCAGTCCGATCAGTTTTGTGGAATTGACGCAGTTCCAGCAACAAAAGATATGTTTTGGACTCCAGATATTATTATCAAAGAAAGGTATAATTTTTTATTTATTTATTTATTTTTGCAGAATTTTCGGTAACACTTTAGAATAATGGTCCGTTGTTAACAAGTAACTATGCAGGAAGTAATAGGTAGTACATTAACACTTAATACTATTAACTAATAGAGAAGCGAGATTAACTAAGCAGTAAGTAGTAGCAAATTTAGGACAAATGTAGTTCCTTATTAGATATTTGATAATTATTAAATAAAAATATCCTCATTGAGAACTACTTGTGAACTATGACCAGTTAATAAAGAATAACCCTACCTTTGTCCTAAATTTGCTACTACTTACTGCTTAGTTAATATTGCTTCTCTATTAGTTAATAGTATTAAGTTAAGTGTTAATGTAGTACTACCTATTACTTCCTGCATAGTTACTTGTTAACAATGGACGTTAAGTGTTACCGAATTTTCTTTTTGCCTCTTTTTTGCTACTTTCATTTATAGGGTTAGTACTGAGAGAATGAGAAATGATGTTTAGAAGAAGGAAAAATTAAATCAGGAAATGAAATTTAAACAAATTAAAATAAAATAAAAAACACTTCTGATCAGTGCTTAGACTTCAGATGTGATCAGTGAATCAGACATTTCATGATGATATTAATCAACTGTCAATATCACCTGGTGTTATTCTGTCTTGACTTTTTCTGATTCAGTTACAAGAATAACAAACCAGGGAGGACAAGTTAAATTTGTATGGGTCCCAGCGCACATAGGAGTGAAGGGGAATGAAAGAGTGGACAAGGTCGCAAAGAAGGCCTTAAAGAAGGAAAATGTAGAAATGCAAATAAGAATCAGTAAAGCAGAAGTGCATAATCTGGCAAACAATTAACCACAAGTGGCAAGAAATGTGGGATAATGAGGGGAAAGGGAGACATCTATACCATGTTCAAAAGAGTATCAAAGTAAATAAGATAGGAAGTGGAAACAGGAAAGAGGAAAGTGTATTAACAAGATTAAGGTTGGGACATTGTGCTCTAAATAAAACATTAAAAAATGGTAGGGAAACATCAGACGGGTCTGTGTGGGGAGTGTCAGGAAGAGGAATCAGTGGAGCATGCAATTCTACATTGTAGGAGATACCAGAAGCAGAGAGAGATAATGGAAAATAATCTGAAGGAGGTAGGGGTGCAGAAACGTACCTTAAAAACAACCCTAGGTTTGAGTGATAGAGCACAAGTAAGAGAACTATTAGTTTTTTTAAGGGAAACTGGGCTTTATTATAGGATATGATGGTAAGGAAGGAAGGGTAATTACTGGGTATTTTGTATTTTTGGAATGGAGGGGTTCTTTTTTTTTTTTTCTCCTCCCCCTCTATCCCTAATTTATAGTAGAAATAGATTGTGAACTTACTTACTGATCCACACTCCAGAACAGAAGGGGGCAGTAATGCACCAATAAGATGGATGCCAACCGCTGTTAAAAAAGAAGAAGACGACTTTTTCTGATGTAAAAAAAGTTATTTCTGAAAACACTAATACAACAACTAGCTACGACAGCCAAAAAATAAATAAATAAAAAATAACAAAGCACTCAAGGGTCTAGTGCTCAAATGCAGCAACCACTGCCTTTCACTAATGCTCAGTCATTCCTTTATTATCTCATTAAATCTATCACTGCTTCAGTGTTATTTTAAAGGGGTGGTCGACCGGCTATTTTCGAAGGCTTGATTGTGTTTATGGGGTGCACTGTAACGTGTTCATGCTTTGTTTTTGTTTTTTTAAATCTCATAATTTTTTCACATATTTTACTTTTATTCTACACCGCTTTTTCCGGTCTCCTAAAACGGTCTTTTGAGTTCCTGGTTCTATGAAGCCCCTCCCTCAGAAATTTGCAAAGATTGGTTAGCTGGCCCAGTGTGTTGTGATTCGCTATCCGCCTAGTGCACGTTGTTCGGAAACATCACGCCAGCCAAATGAAATGCTTTTTGTTGCTTGTCTGAACAAATTCTTACATATCTCTAAAAAAGTTTAGCTCTATTTTTCACATAAATGATTTTCAGTAGTCTGTACAAATTACATTAAATGTGTATAGCCCTCTAATTATGCTTTGTCTTTTTAATTATGTCAGTCACGATCAGTATTACAGTTTGTTGTTGTTGTTTGTTTAGCATCAAAACAGAGTTTGGAACAAAGGAGTCTCCATATTTGCAGTTGCTCTGGTGGGACCTGTCAGTCTCAGTTGATATTTTAGCTCTGACTACTGCTTGTAAGATGGACCTCTACAGATTTCCCTTCGACACCCAAATCTGCAATATAACACTTCACTCTGCAGTGCATTCAAGTACATCTAAAATCCAAGACAAAACACAATATTTTTATATAAATTAATTGTAAAAAAAATAAATCAAGAAAATTGTTTATTGTCTGTTTTCTCACAGTTGGTGAGCTTACCATCGATCCATTTTCTGATAATAAAAACATTACGCATGAATCCAAGGAGTTCTTTCAAGCCCAGGGAGAGTGGGAACTCCTCAGTATAGATGCTTCTAAATCTAATGCCACTCTTCTAGATTATTTACAGGATCTGCTGATATACAAGGTACAGAACACAGAGTATACAGTGCGTGCAAGATTAATTATTAAAATTAAATGTATAACTAGAATGCTAAAAAAGCCTGGCCATCTGGCCATTCTTTACCACCGAGAGTGTGCAAAACATGTGCCAGAACTAAATAATTAGATTTTCATTTGAACCTTTAAAAGGGTGGGACATACAAAATTCCCGCACATCCTGCACAAACATGTTTTTCTTTAAAAAAAAAATGCTTTTATTTTCAATTTTACAGTTTATATCAGGAAAAATAACACGTAAAGATTAAATGCCAAAGTTTGATTATAAAAAAACAAAAAAAAAAATTTTGATGGATTTTTTATTTTAATGATGGCTTTTATTTTATTTATTTTTTTTTTTCATTTTTACAGTCAACATGCAAATTTTGTGTTTATCAGTGGTTGGGACTCAGTGGTGTAACTACAGACCCGTGGGGCCCGTGCGGCGGGGTGGCCCGCTGCGCACGCAGGCACTGCCCACATCACTGCCCCTGGCGACGAAGTGACTATATCAATATAAATATAAATATTAATAATACAATATAATTACTGCCGAGATTCTTAACAGTAGTGAATAAATATATAAATTTGCACATATTATTTGTGTGATTTAATGGTCTAGTGACAGAATTTTTGTCACGCATTTCTGAGGTTCTGGGTTCTAATTCACCCTCGTATAGTTTTTTTTTTTTCCTCATTAAAACCAAAAGTGTTCATTTTGTGCTTTTACCAGAATGAAGCACTCGATCGTCTGTGTGAAGACTGCGCATTGTGCACGAGTGCCAAGAGAGAACTAATAACAGCAGCAACGAGCACTTGCCATAACACATTCCAGCGATAGATCGCCTGTTATTTAACACAGACCAATTAATTTCTTATCGAATGGAGATGTTTCTGTGACCGTGCGTGCCGCGAGATGTTGCAAAAAGCGGTGAGGTGTTGGGGACACCGGCTGCCCAATTCACCCGTAACCAAAGAAGAAACCTGAGGAGAAAAAGGCAGTCGGTTCTAGCCCCAGAGCTCGCTCCAGTGTCGGCCCCAGCCCCAGAGCTCGCTCCAGTGTCGGCTCCAGCCCCAGAGCTCGCTCCAGTGTCGGCCCCAGCCCCAGAGCTCGCTCCAGTATTGGCTCCAGCCCCAGAGCTCGCTCCTGCGTGGGCCCCTGTTCCCAAGTATAGCCCATGGATGGCTCCAGTTCCTGATTATAGCTCACGGAGGGCTCCAGTTCCCGAGTATAGCCCACGGAGGGCTCCTGTCCCCGAGTTTAGCCCAGTGAGGGTTCCCGTCCCCGAGTTTAGCCCAGTGAGGGTTCCTGTCCCTGAGTCGAGCCCAGGGAGGGCTCCTGATCCCCCGTTGAGCCCAGGGAGGGCTCCTGATCCGCAGTTCAATCCCCGGTTTTGGCCCCAAGAGGGCCTTAGAGCCCGCTATCCTCTCCAAGGATTTTTCTTTGGGGGGGGGTAGTAGGGCTCCAGCCATAGAGGCCGGGGTGGGGGCTGGGGCCGCAGCCTCGGAAGCTGCTCTGCCATGGCCCCCTGAGTTCCATGCTCCGCCATGGCCCCCTGAATTCCCAGCTCCACCATGGCCTCCTGAGTCCCCTGATCCGTCATGGCCTCCTGAACTGCCAGATCCGCCATGGGTCCTGGAATGGGCACCACCCTGGAGGCCTTCCGTCTAGTAACCCTGTCCCTAGAGGCCTCCAGAGCGCCCACCCCCCCTCCTCATTGGATGTTATACGGCGCGGAACGTGCCTTCCGGGAGGGGGGAGTAAATGTCAGACTCTATCCATGTCTCGTGTTGCGTTTTCCTCCCCCACGTGTTCCAGTTTTCATGATTATGCCCATTTTTGGTTTTCCAAATCCTATTTGAGTTCCATTAGTTTCAGCTGTGTCCCATTAATTTCCGTGATTAGTCCCTTGATTAGTCCCTGTGTGTTTCCATGTACAGCGTCCGGAATTGTTCGTCAACCCCTCAGTCTACGTGTGTGATCTTGCCTATGTTCCCCGTTGTTTAAAAGAATAAAGACTGTTGATGTTTATCCCGTTGGTTTCCGCGCTCCTTCGTCTCCTCGTTTCCGCCACAGTAGGCGAGCCGTGACAGTAACACATGCTGACGACTGTGAAATCCAACACGATTAATTTGGTACTTCTAGCTGCTGCGGCCAGGCGCATACACAGCCGCATTGTGCGTGTTGGAGAGAGACGCACACAAAGAGAACGGTTCAATTTAATATAAGAAACTGATAAGGTACTGGTTTTAGTTGGTCTAAATTAAGTAGGTTAGGCAAAAATTTGCTGTGTTTGTATGTGCTTCATAACCGTGCAGCCCAGGAGGGCCTGTCGTAATAGCCTGCACTGGGGCTCATCATTACTATGTTACACCACTGGTGGGACTCAAGAGGATACTTTAATAATATGATTCTCTGTCAGGATCCTTGCATATGTGTGGATTTTCTTTACTTTCTCATGCAGCAAGCTGCAGAGTAGGACTAGATTTCACAAAACCAAAGAAATCCAACCCGATTTAGCTTGATTCCCCAGCTAGAAGTGTTATTGTTCTAAGAATGTTCTGAGAACATTATTCTGTGTTTTGGTAATGTTTTCAGTGGCAAGTTTTATTTTTGTTCCAAGAATATTCTCCTAAAATGTAGGATAACATTCTCTAAACACATTCTAAAAATGTTTATTGATAACATTTGAACATTATCCCCTAAAATTCTTATAAAGATTTTAGCAGGAAGCTTCCCATTGGGCATTGGATACGGACTCAAATGTTGCTCAGATGTCAAATTTTGGTTGAAAGTAAAAACCCAACCTTTGTTTGACGTCAAGCATAGATCACCCAAAAATGAAAATTCTGTCATTAATTACTCCAAACCTGTAAGACCTTCATTCATCTTCAGAACACAATTTAAGATATTTTTGATTAAATCCGAGAGCTCTTTGACCCTCCATAGACAGCAACACAACTGAAATGTTCCCAGGCCCGTAGTAAGGACATCGATAAAATAGTCCATGTGACATCAGTGGTTCAACCGTAATTTTGCGAAGCTACAAGAATACTTTTTGTGTGCAAAGAAAACAAAAAATAATGACTTTATTCATCAATTTGTCTCCTCCTCATCCCGTCTGCCATGGCGTGCCACCATTATGGAGAGTATCACCACACATGCACTTGCTCTCCTCTAAATGTAAACAACGCATGCACGTGCTGCCGCTTACGTTGAACACGCATGTGCTGCGCCTTGTTTAAGCACCGTTTTCATTTTTGGGTGAACTATCCCTTTAATTATCTCTGGAGTATATGCACCTGAAAGTGTAACATCAGCAGTGACCAGCACATTGAGAGATTCTGTTGGTGTGTTTGACTTCATGCAGTGCTGCGCAGAATGATCAGTGTCTGACCAGTGCATGTTGGCTATGGAAAGGCATTATGGAAAGCAACATGTCTGACTTAATGTGACACTGAAGATTGGAGTAATGATGCTGAAAATTCAGCATAGCATCACAGGGGGGGAAAAGCATTTTAAAATATATTCAAATAGAAAATAGTTATTTCAAATTGTAATAATCTTTCACAATATTAGCCTACTGTATTTTTAATCAAATAAATACTGCCATGGTGGTCATAAGAGACTTCATTATATCTACAGTATATCTACCGAAAACTATACACTGTGTTCCAAATTATTATGTATTATAAAGGAAATAGTTTGATGTTTTCATATTTTTTTAGATAACTGGCATCAATCTCAGAGAGGTTTCTTAAATAGTTTGCCAGGTCTTCTTAAAGAGATTGTTCCACATTATTAAGCAAGTCACAGTTCTCATGCAATTTGTATTAAAAAGACCGGTATTTGAAGTTGCTGGTGTCTCTGGAGTCCCAACAACCTCTCCATGCAAGCTGGCACTTCTAACCAAAGCTTTTAAATTTTGGCACATACTTTTCACACATTCTGTGGCAATAAAATGGCCAATACGGCTCTGCCTTTATTATAATTAATTAATGTTGAATTAATTTCTGTCATTTTATATTGTATTATTCCGTAAACAAAACTGTTAACACACTTGCTCTTGATTTCAATACTGATTTGGCTTCACTGCTGTATTGTTTAGACATTTTCTGTTTGTCCATGGCAGATCACCATCAAGAGGAGACCTCTACTGTATGTCATAAACATTATAATACCAGTATTTTTCTTCCTTGTGCTGGATGTGATGTCCTTCTTCATTGACGCAAGTGGAGCAGAAAAGCTGAGCTTTAAAGTGACTTTACTGCTGTCTATTTCTGTTTTGCTGCTGATTCTTAACGACACGCTGCCCTCTACAGCTAATGAAATCCCATTGATTGGTGAGTCTAACACTGACATGCTCATGTCTTAATTAGTTAAAAATGCAATCTATAAGCTGGATGGTTCGAATTAGGCATTTAACCTAGAGCACAGAGAATTTTTTTTTTCCTATGAAATAAAAAATAGGTGAGTCATTTGCACTTACCATGAACATTTAAGGACATTTTTTAAGTAGTATTTAAAGGGGACATTGGATGAAATTTTCTTTTTTTTTTCTTTTTCTTTTTAGCTTTTCTTGCATTCAGTCAGGTTTCTGGCATGTCTGCCAGCTCAGAAAAGCTGAAAAGAAAACATGCAGCCAGTTTATTATGGGCTGTCTGAGTCTGAAACTCTGTCATCCAGCGAGCTTTTCAATTTGCAGCAGGTTTCTACGTAGCTAGCTAGCTATTTAAATAAGACCACCTCCGAGCCATATACGGACTGAACCATATTCACGTGTCTTGTGTCGACACACCCCATATAAATGGCCTTTCGCACCGCAGGAACCTTTTCATAGTACCAGAACTAATTGTGGAACTACCCACTTTTTGGCGTTTTCGCACCGCCGGAACTGGGTGCGATTTTAGTACCGGACTGCCTTTTTCGAGAACCAAATGAGCTCCTACTCCGGAGCAGGGTCTAACCAGCACAACTGGTACTAATCGTGACGTAAGTAGACATTGATTGGCCAAACGCGTACGAGAACGCCCTCACCCACCATGATTTACAACGCCGTGTAAACATACTGTAAACATTGTGTCAACTTATTTCGCAAGTATGGAGAACAGCGATAGATGGACGGACGCTGAAGTGCAGGCACTTGTAGCAAATGTAGCACTGCCAGTTGTCGTTGGAGATTCTTAGTCCTCCTTTCCGTTCTTTCAATCGCTTTACGTATACGTCGACATTCCATGTCCATTATTGTGAAACCTGCGAGACACAACAAACACTCAGCTCCTATCACAGCGTCCTCCATCCTCCTGTTGTTAATGTTGTTCTTCTTTGTTTCTGTTGTTGAACGCCGTGCACAAATGACCTCGCTGTCGACCGACACACTGTCGGTGCGAATGCAACCCTTTAAATGGTACTGGGAAATAGTTCGCGCAAAATCGTCCCAGTACTTTAGTACTGTACATTTAGTTCTGGAACTAAAGCGGTGCGAAAAGCCCTTAAGATAGGGGTGGGGTGAGCAGTAGCTCATTATCATTTAAAGAGACATGCACTGAAACGGGTCGTTGTGAACAGAGCTGTTTTTGACAAGGTAAAAAGGGTGTTGTTTTATACTAACGTTGAGGAATTTTAACCAAAGTATGTTACCGGCATTTCATGAAGTCCCTAAAGAATCATACCAACTTGTGTAAAATGGGCATCTGATGTCCCCTTTAAGAAATTATTGGAGAGGGTCACAGAGCCAGAGTGTTTACACTTTTTAAGGATAGCAACCAACTAATGACTTACTTATAGTTGTCTCTATATTTATGGAATGAGAAAGTATTTTTTAACACGAAAAAAAAAAAAGAACTGTAGAGAAATACCACATGCCTCCACTTCCAACACATGATTTAAACAAACAAACAAATTTATTTCAAAGGCAATTCAGCTGTTTCCATCATAGTTTGTTCTCTTCACAGGCATTTACTGCAGTGTGATTTTCAGTCTCATTGGTTTCAGCATTCTGGAGACCATCCTTGTGTCTTTCCTGATGGCTAAAGGAGCCGAGAAGAGATCAGTGGAAAACACAGCTGCTGTTAGTGGCCGAGATGGTAAGAGTCAAGACAGCATCCGATTATGTGATTTTTTTTTCTTATCTTATACTTTCAGTTCTCAAATTAAGGTTTATTAGTGGAATTAAGTTTAAGATTTGCTTGCTTTATCATTCTGGTACACAGGAGAAAGGAAAGCAAATACAATTGACCTTTGAATAAACCACATCAAAATCACATGTTATCTATTTTTTTTGTTTTATTTGTTTTTATTATTCTTCTACTTTTTCTATGAAAGTGTCAGCAATTATTCTTCATTGAAGAATTGTATATATGGGATAATGTAGACCACACTATATATAGTGTTTATTCAGAGCAGACATGTTTTGTATTCCCTCTTATAGATATTGTAAGAGACCTGCACAACTCCCCAGACTCAGTTAGAGATCAGAATGGGATGCAGAGATGGATTCGAGTGGCAAGAATCATAGATGTGACCTTCTTGGTTCTTTATTTAATTACCATTATTGTGTTTCTGACCATGCTTGGGAAGAGCTGGGTTTCATACTGATGTCTCGTATACATGAAATGCCACACAATACTAACTGTCATTTACAGTTTGTACATAGTTTATATAGACATTAATAATAAAAAAATCCTGCTAAAATCAATTGGAGAGATATTATGTCATGGATATTATTATGGATATTTAATTATTTTTGTATTACTTTACACGTCAATTATTTATTCTTTAGGTACCTGCTGTCACACAGAGTCTTATGCTGGCTGGATTGTGGTGTCTGGTCACAGTGAGAAGATGCAGGGTTAACATTGTGCTTTTTACTTTTTTTTTTTTTTGATTTCAAACTTAAAGCATGGTTTCAAATCGCAAAGTTTAAATTCCGTCTAGCTAGTGCACTTAACAACAATTAGGTCAGTAGGCAGAGAGGAGGCGGGTGTTCAGATGCGTTCGACCACATGAGCTTTTACAATAAAGCAATCCGGTGAAGCTCAAAATATTTTAGACACCGCTTACACCAGTATTTAGTGTTGTCCACTTGTGATCAGATCAATGAAAATGCTTCTTAAACAGGGCCTAGAGATGCAAACCTGACAGCAGAGAGTGTTCACAAGTGTTCTTAGGTGTTTTCCTGGTCACACCACATATTGATTTGATTTAGTAAGCAGAAGTTAATTGCTAAATAAAAGTGGACTCACTTTATATTAAGTGTCTTTAACTGTACTTATTTGATACAATGCATTTATTGTGCACAAAAGCCATGTAACTTTTCTGTTGCTGTGTATTTGAATAATTCAGTAAATGACTCTGCATATGTCTCTTTTATAATTCTGGAAAATGTGATAAACTCTAGACAATGCTAGAGATTTCCTGATCATATCTAATCAGTTTTTATCTAAGATAAATTGCTTACAGTAGATATCTAAGTTCTGGGCTGTGGTGTTGCAAATGGTAATATTAAAAACATGTATGCCATATTTCATATTTGTAAATGAGCATTACAATCTTTACTAATTTGAACTTAACTGATTGTATGAATCAAGACATTTTAATTATTCTGCCCGGAAAATGCATCATTCATTTGATACAGCCTCATGGAGTTAAGAAGAGAGTAAAATAACACATTGCATGCTCTGCATCACAGGTTAGTCCACTCCGTGCATATTTTACTGATAGTTTACTTGACTAAGATCACTAACCCTTTTTATCATTTAATATGATTATCACTGCATTTATATTTCTGAAGTTTTGAAATAGTTCTCTCAACTTATCTGCAAAATTGTTTATCTTGGGTAAATACCATTCAAAGTGAGCATCATTATGCCCTAGTCCTTGCCAAAGGCAGAGAACTTGAACTGAGGACTCTGAAGGTTTGCTAAGACTGCTGTAGAAAATAAAGGTGAAAGAACTGTCTGAGATACTTCTTTTATAGAATAAAGAATTCACTCTTAAACTGATGTCTGTCAGTTGGTCATGTTTATGCATATTTACAGCATCGGAGCAGTATTTGAGGCTAAGCATATTTATTTATTTAGTCATTTATTAGAGGCTTTTATCCAAAGCGACTTACAAATGAGGACAACAGAAGCAATCAATTGTAGTATTAAAACAACAAAAAACAGATCCAAAACTAAAAGCTAAAACTTTATAAATACTACCTATACACATTTATTTAATAAAGAGATTAAATAAAAATGACAAATGCATACAGCAAATTTTCAAAACTTAACATTTAAATGAAAAACAAAAAATAAAGCTAAAAACAATTCAAAATATTAAAGAACAAAAGGTATACGAGTATAATAATGATTCTAACATAACACTAAGCCAAACACCAAAAAAACATATGTATGTACAACCACACACACATACATATATTAATACTGTATATGTACATACACATTTATAAATTCAATATATATATATTATTTCATTTTCATTTAGTTTGCTGAAGTATTAAAATAACTCAAATTAAATCAAACTAAAAACTTAATAAAAAGACCTACACAGACAAAATAAATTCAGACATAATGTAACTAAAATTAAAATAAATAACAAATACAAATAATACAAATCAAACGACAGTAGTTTATCAGTAATCCTAAAAAATAACACTGTCAAACTTACATGCTAAAAAACAACAACTTACTTACACATAGTAAGAAATGGTTATAAAAACTGAAACGGAAGCGAAACGAGTAATATCCCATCAGTCATCATGTTCAGGAGCTGACATTATGTATTATGCATAATTTGGCAGTAAACCATAAAGTGCACACTGTATTGGTGCAGAGATGAATGTGCATGTTTTGTAAAACTTTTGCAACTGCTTTTTATCACTTAATAACAAACACAGGAACTTCAGTTACATAGGAACTTTTGCATTTACATTTGGATGTTTATTTTAATATAAATACTGAAAAATAAAATGTGTAAATAAAGCTCTGTAAAAACGTTGTTGCATTTTTATAACATGATCAACAAGATGCTATGATGTAGTTTGTCCCATCGGGTAATTAATAGTTTTACATACACCTGGACACTTGAGCCAAATACAGAAAATACGTCATGTAAGTAGACAAGTGCTTAGTATATAAGGCTGTCTTCCTCTGTCACCATAGCCATGAGTTCTGCCGTCACTGCTGTCCCAGTGGCTTTGATCCTGTCATCGTTATTGTAGTGGTTTTTGAACCGGGGGTCAAGTGTGGATGCCAAACTCAACAGCTCATCCACACAGTCTTCTGTGTACTTGAAGTTCAAGGTACTCCAGAATGTTTTTTGTAAAAGTGATAATTACCTCTTCAAGAACTTAAAAAAAAAATGATGTCAATAAATGTTAGCTCAAGAGAAACCCAATGTGGATCTTATTATCAGTCTTGTATAGTATTGTGTCTTAGTATTGTCAGTCAAATATGCTATGTGACCTTCTCCCTTCAGTTACAGAAGGACAAAGAGGAAAAATACTGGAGGAAATGGGATTGTTATTCAACAAATGGCAAATGACTAGATCCTCAAAATCATTCCACATTTCTGCTTACCACATGGTTGCTGATTCCTTGCGAGAACTCATGTAACGGTTGTAGTTAGCTGTTGTTGTTGTTTTTGTCTTGCTTCCTCTCATTCTTGAGAAGTGGGACAAAACAGGGTGCACAATTGAAAAAATAAAACCTTGTACTCAGACAAATGAAACTAAATTTATATTTCTTATATGTACTAAGCTACTGAGCTATGCTTTGATACAACCTCCCAACTTTTCTCTTTTTTAACAAAATGTGCTTTTTTACCTTGGACTGTGTAATATAATTTCAACTTTATCTTTAACAGCATTCAAATGACAGCTGCCCCTGATATTCCTTGATTTTATTACATTTTATTGAATGTCTCACGGTGTTGACAAAAAGTGGGGACGCAACTTTAAAATCTTATGAAACATGCATGTGTCATTAAAAAAAACAACCTTGCTTTGACAGGAGATATTATTAAGTGTTGCTTTTGATAAAACAAGCTCTTTTTCATCATTAAAAAACATTTTTATCCATTTTATTGCATATGCATGATTGAACCCTTCTCTGTGGACACACTGTTTTAGATGTAGTGAGAGGACATTAAGAAACACAGATTTGGTATAATAATGAGAAAATTAAATTGAAGGTGATAATTCTGTTAAATACATTCTATTATTAATCCCTCATGACATTTAAAATTGAAAATATTTTTAATTTTTAAAGCTAATAGCAGTTACCCTTGCTGGACCTGTTTTGTCCCACGCCTCAAGAATGAATAGAAAATTTGTTCTAACAAATAAAGTACAAGATAAAAAAAAGTTCATGAACAGGACAGAAGGCTCCACAGATGGAGCATCAGTTTGGAGCTCCCCCGTTTTTCTGGTTTTATTGTTTGTTTGTATGTCCTGTCTTCAGTCACTGTTTTCCTATAACTTTTACTAGGGATGAACTGCTGGACATTAGACAATGCACACCTGCCAATCTTTTGCCAATATTTGAACATTCAGACTTTTGAAAGCTCATGTATTATATTAAACTGACAGGTCTGTTGCCCTTTAGCAATATGAATAAACAACACATAATTACTTTGGTCATCTGTAAGCGGTGGTCTTTCTCTCCCTGCAGGAGTGTCATCTCATATTTACTCATATATAAGTAGAAAAGCTGCAAAGAGGATTGTTTTAAGAGTAGTTATATGTTTACAGAAATATTTGACTATATTTTAAGGCATTATAATTACTTTCTGTGATATGTGTTAACAGGTGTTGTTAACCTTACCATAAATAAAATATTTGGGCCATATTTTGGAGGTGGGGCATGTTTCTCACAGTGCTTAAATATGGCCAAATGACCGATATCTGTTCAAGAGTGAATACTCATGCTTTAGCTAAAATATTCGAGGCAGTTGGGATCTACTGAACATGTACCTACACTGGCTAATATTTGCTGTCACTTCAGTCTGTAAGTACATGTTAAAAAACCAAATTCTATTTGAAACACTTTACAATGAGGTTTAATTTATTAACCTTAATGTATTAGGAATGACAAATGAACAATGACAGGACTTTTTTGTGCATTAATTAATTTAGGTTTATGTTGATTGATTGATTGATTGATTGATACCCTTAATTTATACAACTTGAATTCTTAAACATGTCTTTACTAGTAAATGGAGAAATCAGCATGAACCTGCATTAATAAATGCTGTAAAATTATTAGCAATTGCATTAGTAGTGTTAACATATAAAGCCTTATTGTAAAGTTTATAGTTCTAATTGTAACATACTGTAGTTTTCATATTTAGTTTTTATCATATTTTTTATGATCTTATGAATTTAAAGTTCATTAAAAACATTGGTTATACCACAGAAAGGTGTCAGGTGAACGTATGTTTGCTTTTGAGGGCCACGTGTCTGAAAATTGTGAGGACAGTTCTCATGGTGTTGCTATTAGACTATTACATATCTTCAATTAAAATATGGGAAATTAAATATGTAAATATACATATGTAGGTTTATAAGTCACGGAAACAAATGGAATCTATTTTACTGGGATTCTTCTCAGTTAACAATTTTAAATAGTTGATTTAGCATTTTACATTAATGACACAAAATATATACAAATATTAATACAAATAATATCAAAAGCCTTAACAACTTAATTAGCACATGATTCCTTTTATTCCCTTAATAACACATTCATGGCCTTACCCACCATTGACGTCACCAAGGTCCGGACCTCTGTATTTTTGCTTTCTAAGGTAAGCTATATAATAAAAATTGTAAAACAATTATCTAATATGAACTCTGTTTTGACGCTGCAAATATTTTGCACAATGCCAAGATAAAGCCCGACATTCTCATGAACTGCCTCAGTGGTGTAATAAAGTTGTCAATGTCATCATGTTTGAAATGTACGGCTAGCCCAAAGGGTTGGAATGAATCACATTTACATCCAAAATGCAGTATTTGATGGCGTTTAGGATGGATTTAGCGCTGTCAAAAAGCCATCCTTATTTTAAACACCGTGAAATCATCATAAACACCATATTCGATGGTGATTTATTGTTAAAAGAGCCCCTTTTTCACCGCTTGGCTTGACAGAAAAATTATTATTTTAAACTTTACGTTAAACTCTATGTTAAATTATAATTTTCTATTTAATATTGATTTTCTCTGTTGCATATTAGACCTTGAGGAAACTGAATGGAAATAGATTATGTTATTTTAATGTTGAGAAATTTGTTTATAAGTTTCCACGGTCAAAGACAACCTGGAAATATCATGGAATTCCTCATGATTAAAAAAATATATATTTCAAGGCTTGAAAAATCTAATAATTTTATAATTATGAAATTCATTAGTTAATTAAGAAATTAATAATCACCCCAAAAAAAACAAGTAATTAGTATTGTAAATATAGTATGCTCTGCTCTAAAACATTGTATCAGCTTTCATATTGGTATCTTTGTTTGTTTGTTTGTTTGTTTATTAATATACACTATAGGTCTCATTTTAATAATGCTACAATTCATCTTTAAAATCATGTCAATTATATGAGTTCATCTTGCTTCTCGATTAATAAATAAATAAATAAATAAGACTTGCTGAGTGATAAATCCTGAACTTGAGTACAACTAAAATGCTCTTTGAGTAGACCTATTTTAGAAGATCTAAATGATGAAGCGTTTAGAATCATTATATCTGGAGATGTTTTATTGGAGTAGTCTATTATTTACAGCATTTAACGTTCTACAGTGAAGCATTCATAGGCATTATCCACAGTATTTGGGTTGTGTGTCTAGATCTAGGGTACATTTATGATGCATGATACATGACAATGATGTAAAAACAGAAATGTTTTTCCTTTGCGTTTTTAAAAAGTTTTGCATACAAACGACAATGGCGTCAGAAGCGATCCCCGTTCACACTGATCCACGAAAATTATTAAAAACCCTGTATTATGCATTACAGGCCAGTAGGTGGCGATGTTACTTTATAAAGAAACACTACACACCTGCGCACCTATAGATTGAATAAGTAATATGCATGCACATAATGTCACCATTCTCAAATCTGCTTTTTTGTAGTTTACACGGACACTATATTCATTTTCATAAATTTGCACTTTGAAACTTGTTTTCAACAGCTTGCATTTTCAGGGCCCCAAAATGCCGTTGTTGTGTAAATGAACGGCCAAAATGCATAAAACGTTTTCTATTTTAAATTTTTAGTTTCAAAACAGTTTCATGTAAACACCCCCCTAAAATATGTATAATGTCTTCATTTGTTCAGTCAGTTTTTTCAGTCTTGTTTGTAACATGCCAATACATTTGTCTTACATTTTATGCACATGGTATTTAAAGTATGGCCTGATTGGGGAATATATTCTGGTATGTAACAGAAAGTCTCATCTGCACAGTAGGGGTCTCTGCGGCTGAAAACTGTAATCATACAGATTATACTGTGGCTTATGAGGCACTTTTTCAACAACTTGGCTTGGACAAGAATGGTGTTCAGATGACCCACATGCGGCCTTTGTCCTGGGGCCCTGTGACCTGTGTTTATGTGGACATGTATGTGACCTCCATCATAGAAGTGGTATGAGTCCTGCATGATTTACATTCTCATTTAGATCATTTTGGGATTTCAAGCAGATGTAGTTTTATCAATCAACGCTTCTTTTTATCTATAGAATGAAAAAGCACAGAGCTTCTCGACACAGGTCAAAATGATGACTGTAAGTGTTTTTAAAACTTTTTTTTTTTGGTTTAACTCAACAAAATAACAAGCATCTCAGAATTACTTTAAACTTTATATTCATCACTTTCCAGGCTTGGTCAAATAGGAATATGGCGTGGGATGAAGAGGAGTTTTGTGGAATGGAGACATTAGCAGTCCCAAAAGAAATGTTTTGGACTCCAGACATTGGTATAGTAGAAAGGTATAAAAAACACATGTCAGAACTTTTATATATTTTACATTACATTACATTATTTTATATTTTTTCTTTCATTATGAGCATGAGAGTGTCTTAGCTGTTTTTTTTTTTGTTTTTTTTAATTAGGCATATGATGTCTTGATATGAAAAAGAAAATCTGTCACCGTTTCACAGATACTTAAACCCAGAATCTTAAACCCAGTGAGCTCCGCTTATTTGTTATTGCCAATATGAAGAATGCTAGGGCCATTTATACATGGTCCCTATAATATTATGACTAATACACAGCAAATTCCGCAGTGTTAGGTTAACAAGTTTTTAAGTTTTTAAATAAGTCCACTCAGAGCGTTAAAGTAACACTGAAGCAATGTTTCAGTTAATGAGATACAGTAATTAAGTGATTAATTAAGTGCTGATTGAGCACCAGCTGTTAATAAACAGAATCACTGAACAAGAACAGAAAAAAAGAGAAACACAACTACAAGTGACTTACAGCCACAGTCGAAGGCCAAACGGAATCGCGTTTAGCTGTATACGCATACATTTTGTATCGTATAGGCGTTTCGTCCAGACGGATCCGGCGTTTTGGGAGAGTGTGAAATGTGGATTTTTATTTTAAATTCGACAAATATTTGAAATAAAAAAAAACATTTTGACAGCCCTACTTACTACTAGGGGTGTAAATCGGATGTTTCGTCACGATACGATACGATATCGATTCTCATACCCAGCGATATGATATTTGCCGATACCTCAAAAAATTATACGATACGATTACGATTCGATTCGATACAGGAGTATATCGATTGATATGTCGATATTATGATATTATATATCTGTTTTAAACAACCATCTACATTTTTATTAACTCACAAATGCAACCAAAATATATAACATGAACATTTATCTGAAATTTCTTTCACAACGAAACACACAGCGCCTTCACGACATGGCGGCGGCGGCACAACAATACTACAGCGAGAATAAATGTTATGCCTTTCTTTGCGTGAAGATTTGGGCGGCGTTATGCAAATCTTCCCACAGAGCGACGTAGGTATGTTGGGGCGTGTTAAAACGAGCCGTTTTAGGTAGGCGTGGCTGACTCTTAACTTTTATAAAGAATATCTCTTTGGATTTGAGACTTTAGTCTTTGCAACTTTACAGATCTTCTTTATGCACCAAGAGCTTGTAACACTCCTAAGAGAAAGGAAAAATTTAAATCTCATCATATGACCCCTTTAATATAGGCCTCCTGATACACATGCCTTTTCTTTCTCAACTGTTTACGTTAAGACATATGCCTAACCGACTGTGTTTACTAGGATATTCGCCAAAACGCGCATTTTTATGTATTTTTTTCTGTATGGATTCATCCATGCACAAAAAAGCGGAAGAGTGCTCAATTTAGTATTCGCGCGGTCTAGACGCGGCTGTCTGTGTGCGTGCGAGCGCTTTAGATGTGTGCGCAGAAAACGTCTCGCACAGCGCTCGACTTCCGCAAACAATCCCGAGCGTCTTTTATGCTCACCTTGCGCCTTCGGGCAGTCCTTATATCGAGTCCTGATATGCGAGTTGAACGAGAATGCACGTGTTGGCGGTAATGCATAGACGGACGTTATGTGAAAATGTGGACCGTGCCAAAATAAAGGTGCCCATTTACAGATATGGATATTTTACATGTGGCATCGATGCATCGTATTGTCAGACATCGTATCGATGTATCGTTACACCCCTACTTACTACTAACCAATTTGACTTTATTTCTGGCAGATGTCTACAAAAGCTCTTATTGAGAATTACTGAGGTAATTCTTTTCATCCACCTCTGGAGGATCAGATGCTTAATGTCCTGTGTTCTGTGGGTTTACATGGACCAGCTCTGCATTTCCTGGGCCTCTGGCACACAGGGAATCCCATTCCCAGTCAACTGCTCTCATTGGCTTGTGGAAGCTCTATCAGTAGCTGCGTTTACATGGACCCTACTAATCCAATTTTAATTGGACTAGAAGCACTATCAGAGTAAAAATAACGTAATGACATATGTCGAGCGGAACGAGCTGTTCTTCCTGGTGAATAAAGTGTCATAAATTAGTGTCCCTTCATTATAAAACTCCCCTTTCACTCAGCGTCTGTGAAGTGGAGCAGGACAACATCCCACCACTCCTTGTTTAAGACTCATCAACAGATGACTGGTGTTGGGTGCAGGAAGGGGCACTTTTACTGCTTTATAAAGTAAGCAGCACTGCACAACAGTGTGCTGGTCGTCGCCTAATTAGGACCCCAAGTAGATAAATATCACGTGTGCTTTTTAAAACAGTATGCGACAACAGCGGGAAACTGTATTTTCATGCAGTGTGCGCATGTCAAAATATTAAATCCAATCAGAAGCTTGTGACATATAAACGCGCATATCAACCCGATCACTTTATTTAGCGTTCATGTAAACACTACGTTCGGATTCTGCAATCAGAATGGATTCATTCCGATGGAAGCAAAAAGTGTGCATGTAAACGTACCTATTAACATGTGAATGTGAGTGCAGCCTCCAGAAGGCATCAGAGCACACTCTACAGACTGCACTGATTTAATGAGACTTGATTTGGCCTTGATTTGATGAGAAAACAACTGCTATACTGATGAATCGCATCTTACATCGACAATGGTATTGAATTTAACTGAATCAAAACTGAAATGACTCGATCTGAATAACGACAAATGACACTATTGTTTTTTAGAACTGCTTTACAGCAGAATCTGAATTGTCTCCATAGTTTGTAACGTTCAGCCTTATCAGAAGATGTTACAATTGTTAAAATGGGGTCAGATTATGTCCATGGAAGTGATAATCCAAAGTACTGGAGCGCATTTTCAGGCTGCATACGTCATCAAGCCTGTTTTATTTCAGTTAACCGAGCATTACATTCGCGAGTCATAAGCATATTACAACAATTTACACTTAACTAAGAATAATGGTCAAATTTATAACTGTTAAAGGGGTCATATGATGCTGCTAAAAAGAACAGTATTTGGTGTATTTGGTGTAATGAAATGTGTTTATGCGGTTTAAGGTTCAAAAAACACATTATTTTAAAATTTAAATCGCATCATATGACCCCTTTAATATTCTAAAATAAGATCTTCTTTATGACGTATGCAGCCTACAAATGCAACCTCCAGAGGATGCAGCCTTCCGTTTGAGAAACGGCCATGCTGCCGCCTTTATACTACCTATTTCCTGTTTCCTGTCATGTGATTGCTCACATGACAGGCAGACCATGCATTTCTTAAAGACATACACTCTAAAAATGTTAAGAGGAATAAAATGGACTAAGAAAACATGTAAACCAGTTAAAACTCTATTATACATAAAATAATTGTAATAAATAGAGTGGTCTCTTATGTGACAGTGTCAAACTTTGACTGCTCCAGCTGTTTTGCCCACTTCTTGCCTCTCCTCTTAAAACACTCGATGACCTCTCTCTCGTGTCTCTCTCTCTCTCTCCATGGCATCCTTGATAGATTCCTCCATTTTACCAAATTTTAAAGCTACAGCCTCTCTAAAATACACTTCACGGTTAAGATTACTTTCAACAGTCTTTAAAATGCTTCTCCAATTTCAAAACAGGATTTTTAAGAGCAACCACATCAGCATGTAGCTGTACACACTCACAGTGATGTAAAACCTGTTCATCATTAAAACCAGCAGATGTATTAAAAGAAGCAGCATTAACTTGGTTTGTCGTCATCTTAAAACACTCCTCTCAAAACAGCATTTAAAATTGTTTCACATTCCCCGTATGGGCCACCATATGTAACATTCAGCCTTATCAGCAGCAGGTCATCCAGACCCATCCAGAAGCTGCCATCTCCCCTCCCACTGCGACGACCAGCCCAGTGCCTCCCACGTCAACCCCTGGCTTTCCTCTGGCCAACAATCCCAGTGCCTCAACCACTTCACAGACTATCAACAGTGCAACTGATGGAGAATTCTGCACCACCACTCCAATGGGGCCAGACTTCGACATCATCTTCTCCATCCTTCCCTTCTCCAGAGAGCATCTCAGCTGCGCGCTGGGTGATGACGACACTCTCCAGAAACTTTCCATCTTCCCCTCCACTCCACCGACCAACCGGATCGAAGTGCGGGAACACCAGGGCTTGCTGTATCGGCGAATCCAGAAGGGGAACGCCAACAACAAGGTCCAGCTCATCGTTCCTAAGACCGTGGTCCAGCAGACGGTACAGCACTTCCACCAGTGGACAGCAGAGAAACATCATGGGCGGCTAAAGACCCTCCTGCAGATCCTGGAAGTTGCCTGGTGGCCCACGATCTGCAGCGATGTCTTATGGTTCGTCGAGGACTGCAAGTCATGTGGGGTGAAAACCAAGGAGTGTCCTGTAATCAACCCTAGCAAGATACCACCTCGTCATCCACCTCATCATTGTTCATCAGCATCAACAACATCCACCAAAGAGACCCACAAGCCGGATAGGAGAAAACGCCAGGGCGGCTGGTGGACCAGTAGGGCTGGGTGCAACATGACCCTGCGGAGTGGAGTTTCCATAATTGATCCTGCTATTTTTCCAGTTTATCTCTGTGAAGCTGCTTTGACATAATCTGAATTTTATAGGGAAAAAAAGTGACTTGACTTGACTCTACTCGATGCTCTGTTTAGAGGAGTCTCATTGCAGGACTGTGCTGCTGCAAGTTTGGCTTCTGCTCATGCATTTGTGAGATACTACCAGGTTTATTCACACCACTGTCTTTTATACCCTTACCTGGGCACTATATGCGCTAGGGCATAACTACAACAAAATGAATCATAATTTTTACAAACACAAAAATCTTAATTTTTATTCTTGCATCTCTGATTTGAATACCCATTGTCTCCAGTCATCGGTACTTTATGTTTTGTCCATTTAGCATCAAGACAGAGTCTGGAACAAAGGAGTTTCCATATGTGCACTTGATCAGTTATGGCTATACAGTCTCATCTGACGTTTTAACTCTGACCACAGCCTGTAAGATGGACCTGTACAGGTTTCCCTTCGACATCCAAAGCTGCAATCTAACGCTTCAGTCTTCAGCGCATTCAGGTACATATGAAATCCATAATTCAGTGTTGACAAACACATACATAATAATCAATAGCATGCTTACTTTAACTGTAATGTCTGTTCCCACAGTTAAGGAGCTTACAATATACACATTGTATGGTTCCGTATGGTTAACTCTCGCGTCGAAGCAGACTTTTCAGGCCCAGGGAGAGTGGGAACTCCTCAGTATAAATATGATTAACTATAATGCCACTTTCATATGGGGGGTCAAGAATCAGCTGATATATCAGGTACAGAGCACAGGTTATGGCGTGTGAAACAATAAATATACAGTAAAAATAAATAAAAATGATCAAACCAACTAGCAAAATATGTGCCGAAATACATAAATGATTAAATGAAAAAATAAAAAGCATTTGGACCCTTAAAGGTCAAGAGTATAAAAACATTTAAAAATGTATTATTATTATTGCCATTATCCAACACATTACTCAAATAATACACTTACAGTTTTTATTCAACATATTGCTTTAATTTAAATATTCTGGTTTGTATAACATGCACAGCACAATAAGAATGTATTTTTTCCTTCTGTCTTTTTTTTACAATTTCCTTTTTCTTTTTCAAACTCAACATGTACATTTTGTTAATCAGTGGGTAGTGTTTAGACACTACACTAGGGGGCACACATAGGTTGAAAGAAAGAATTGAACATGACAAATACTTTTAGAGCATTTGACAAAATCTGTTTGGAATGAACTTTTAGAATAATGATGGTCTCCCTTTCAACCTCTGTATTCTCCTGGTGTGGGAACGAAGTATCTCCTCTTGAGTACCACCCACTGATTAACATAGAATTTACACTTGACAATTAAATTGTAAACTTTGCAATAATATTGTGTTGACATTAGGGGGGAAAAATCAGACAGTTTCTGTTTTTACGTGACAGATTACCATCAAGAGGAGACCTCTACTTTATCTCATCAATTTCATGCTACCAATATTTTTCTTCCTCGTGCTGGATGTGACCTCCTTCTTCATAGATGCAAATAAAGCAGACAAACTGAGCTTTAAAGTGACTTTACTCCTGTCTATTTCTGTGATGCTGCTGATTCTTAATGACACACTGCCCTCTACAGCTGATAAAATCCCACTGATTGGTGAGTCTAACTTGAACATGATCATCATGGCTTCATTTGTTAAAAATGAAATCCTATAATTTAATTTGAAGCTCAAATGAGTTAACAACACATCATAGGAAGTATGCATAGTATGCATTAAACCTAAAAAAAAAGCTGAATATAGAAATCTAATAATAGTTAAATTACAATAATGAATAACAATAAGTTGAACAAATTTAACATTTAATGCGAGCTGACAGAAGTAAAATAAGTAATACTGGATCAGAAGCAGTGGTTACTGTGCATCCATAAAATGAAGAAGCTTAAGATACTGTGGTGTAGAATAAACAACCAGGCCAGAAATGCGGTGAACAACTCTCTGTTTACTATTCCTCTGTAACTCTCTAACACACACACAGAACTAGGCAGAACCAAACGTGCATAGCTCAATCAGACATTTCCACTGCTTTGTGGGCAGACTGGGGTAGGTGCAGCTACTTTACAAAGACGACTAGCGTGCCATCGAGAACAATCCTCCAGGAGATAAGATGCCCTGCCTATCTGACGAGTAACCAACAAGGGGGTAGACCAGAACGAGGCCAGTTTATTCCTCCTGTGTGGTCTGCGCACTCTCACCCAATCCTGAACTGCGATATCTGGTTCTTTGGCACGTCTGAGTCTGTCAAATCTCCGTTTCATCCGGCGCTGCTGGCGAGTGACGTGAGTTTTAACCCCAGGGGGGAGGTCCCTTGGATTTAGAGGGCGGAGTCTGTCCAGTGGCAAAATGAGTTCCCTGCCCAACATTAGGAAGGTTGGGGAGACCCCAGTGGTGCTATGCTGTGAGGCCCGGTAGTGTAGCAAAGTCAGACGAATGGCTTGGTTGAAAGAGCACGCTTGTGCCAGGTGTGCCCTAAGGCCATTTTTCAAAGACTGGTGGAAACGTTCCACTCCCCCATTGGCCTGGGGGTGGTAAAGAGTGTGGATGGATACCCTTGTTCTCCAGGTAAGAGGAGAAGTCCACAGAGACGAACTGAGGGCCGTTATCCATTGTAACAGTTTGTGGAAGGCCCCAACGGGAGAACAGCGAGTCCAGAAAGTTCACGATGACTTGAGTGGTGACTGAGCCGGTCGTGATTAGTTCTGGCCATTTGGAGTGCAAATCATATGCTACCACCAAGTATCGCTGGTTGTGGGGAACCCCGTGAAATTCACTGCAGATATCCATCTGAAGGTGCTGCCAAGGACGAGTAGACCAGGCCAGGGTTCGAAGGGGCGGGGGAGGTGGGTTGCCTGTTTTTCCACTAACAAGACAGGCTGGACAGTCTTTAACTAAAAGTTTGATTTCTCTGTCTATGCCCGGCCACCAGACTCTATCCTGGCAACGCTGTTTGAGCTTCACTATTCCCAGGTGCCCCTCGTGCGCCATTTCGAGCACACGCGCGCGAAGGGGCCCCGGGACCACAGTGCAAAGCCCACGTGCCACACATGTGTCATTCCAGCAAGATAGTTCATCTTTGATGCAGGCAAATGGCTTTAGCTCTTCTGAGACATGTAGGGGCCAGCCTTCTCGGATATAAGTGCGGAGCAGAGAGAAGATAGAGTCCTGCTTTGATGCAGTTTTAAGCTCCTGTAGTGATACCACACACTGCAGAGGTGTGTGTAGCAGCTGGATGATGTCTGTTTCAGGGCTAATGTCTTCTGTTATTTCCGGAGCTGGGACAGAGCGAGACAAAAGGTCAGCCACCACGTTTTCACGGCCCGGTGTGAACTGAAGGCTGTAGTTATACTGACGGAGCCGGTCATACCAGCGGTGTAGTCTCAGTGGTCTGTGCCCTGTTCCTGACATCGCCAGCAGTGCCACTAAGGCATGATGATTCGTCCTCAGAGTGAAATGGCGGCCATACAAGTACAGGTGCCATCTTTCGCATGCCCATAGACATGCCAGCGCTTCCCGTTCACCCACTGAATACCATTGCTCTGTTGGGTTAAGGGCCCTAGAGGCAAAGGCTATGGGCCTTTCTACACCCTTCTGTACCTGTGACAATATGGCTCCGATGGCTGTGGCGGATGCATCGCAGGTGACCATGGTTTTACAGGAGGTGCTGAAGTGTGAAAGTATGGGAGGTGAAGGGAGTTGGGCCTTGAGAGTGCGCACAGCCTCCGTACATGCCTGCGTCCACACCCAGGGCTCATCCTTCCGGAGTAATTGCCGCAGCGGGGCAGTAGTGGCTGAATACTGAGGCAGAAACTTTAAGTAGTAGCCCGTCATCCCTAGAAAGGAAGCCACCTGGGCAGGTGAAGTCGGTTCAGGGATGGACTGAATGGCATCAACATTAGACTGGAGTGGGGAAATGTCCTGTGCTGACAACTTGAACCCCACAAACTCGATGACAGGTACAGCAAAAATACATTTTTCACCATTTTAAGTTAGCCTGTGCTTGCTGAGTGCATCAAAAACCCTGTTGAGGTGCTCATTATGAGTCTGTGTTGTGGGCCCATGCACGACAATGTCGTCAAGGTAGATGACAACACCTGGTATCCCTGCTAGCACAGAGGTCATAACCTTTTGGAAACAGGAAGGGGCGGAGCTAAGGTCGAAAGGCATCCTAGTATAACGAAATACTCCCTCATGTGTCACAACAGTCGTCAGATTTCTGCTGTCAGCATGAAGGGGCACCTGCAGATAGCCTTCTCTTAGGTCCAGCTTAGAAAAAACTGTGGAACCATAGAATTGAGCTGTGAGTTCCTCCGTCGTTGGTAGCGGGAACTCACAGCTTACTTATCTGGAATAACTGCCTTATTGACTTGCCTCAAGTCCACGCAGATGCGCAGAGCACGAGATTTTTTAGTGGCCACCACCAGGTTTGAGACCCAGGACGACGCATCCACCTGCTCAATGATGCCTCCTTGCCGCAGGCGCTGTAGTTCCATTGACACCCCTTCACGCAGGGCCAGGGGAATACGGCGTAGAGGCTGAATGACAGGACTGACAGTATGGTCAATGAGAGGCTGGTGCATAAATGAGGTGAGGCAGCCCAGCCCATTAAACAGCGTTGGCCGCTGTTGCTGCCATATTGCGGTCACAGCCAGGATAGCAGCCCACTCCATGTCCACTAGGGCGAACCCCAGCGCGGTGAACAAGTCCAGTCCCATCAAATTTGCTCCTTTGCGGGCCACTTGGAAGATGAATGAGGGCAATGTCTTTGCACCATAGCGCACAGTCAATTTAAGTGAACCCAGCAGCTCAATTTTGGAATCGCCGTAACCGCACAGGGCTGTAGAGGGCGTGGCTAGGGGAAACACGCTGAAGAATTGACTGTAAGTGCTTGCATTGAGCAGAGATACACTGGCCCCTGTATCCAAAAGCAGTGGAACACTCACATCATTCAGGGTGACAGTGCATGATCTGAATGGCACAAGACCTGAAGTTACATTGTGGATGATGGCAGGTGGAGACATTGTGGATGATGGCAGGCACTCACCTCTGTGAGGCCGGCTGCGATGAGATATGTCTCAAAAGATTGCAGCCAACGGGGCCACAGAATAGGACAGGGGTGGCGAACTCTGGTCCTGGAGAGCCGCAGTCCTGCAGAGTTCAGCTCCAACCCTAATAAAAACTCACCTGCCTGTAGCTTCCTAGTAACCATTCAGGACTTGATTAGCTTGTTCAGGTGTGTTTGATTAGGGTTGAAGCAAAACTCTGCAGGGCTGCGGCTCTCCAGGACCGACGTTCGCCACCCCTGGAATAGGAGGTTCGCCTGGAAGAGCGAGGAAGGGCGGTGGCGGTGGTAGAGAAAAATCAACCATCCTTATCGCCAAAATGTGGTGTCGAATAAACAACCAGGCCAGAAATGCGGTGAACAACTCTCTGTTTACTATTCCTCTGTAACTCTCTAACACACACACAGAACTAGGCAGAACCAAACGCGCATAGCTCAATCAGACATGCATTGTGATCACAGAACAGTCTTTCTTTTTCATAAACAGCGCTTTTCCACCCTCTAGTGGACACAACAGATACACCTTCAGTTCCTTAAAGCAGGGATCCTCAAATCTGGCTCACGAGATCCACTTTCCTGCAGATTTTAGCTCTAACCCTAACCAAACACACCTGAGAATGCTAATCAGTGTCTTCAAGATCATTAGAAAATCACAGGTAGGTGAGTTTGATCAGGGTTGGAGCTAGTGAGCCAGATTTGAAGATCCCTGTTTTAAAGGGACAGTTCATCCAAAAATTTAAATTTGCTGTTAATTTACTCACCCTCAGGCCATCCAAAATGTAGGTGACTTTTTTGTCTTCAGTAGAACAATTAGGAAGATTTTTAGCTGAAACTGTGGTCCATGTTGATTCATACAATGCAAGACAATGGCTACCATCACTACGAGAGACAAAAAAGAATATCAGGCAACACAAAATTAATACCCACAGCTCCCAACGATATATTGAGGTCTTAGGAAGTGAAACAATCAATCTCTGCAAAAAAATGGAACATTATTTACAACATTATTACATGTAATCCATAGCCTCAGGCAATCTGTCCAGAGTGATGTCGATTCGTGACCAAATCTTTCTTTTGAACTGGCTCTTTTAGTGGACTGGATGAACCAGTTCACAAAATCGGACTGAACCGTTTGCCCAGTCAAAACTGACTTTTGGGCATGTTTGACAGTCACTCCCACTCAAAATGAGCCAATATAAATTTATTTGGGTGCACTAGTGCAAGCGACGTAACTACCTGGGCCACAGAAGTGGAGTAGATTCCCACACTAGGGCAATGAAGACCACAGGGAGCCTGTGTAGGAGATGACAATGGATGAGTTGGCAGAGGAAGATACCCCTGCAGAGCCAGCGGAGGAAGATCAAAGTGGAGCAGGTTGGAAAAAGGATAACATTGGAGCCGAGGGGTTGGAGGGCCAAGGCGGAGCCAGAGGGTTGGAACGCCTAGGCTCTATCTCTGAAGACTATGGTGGAATTGGCTGGCCTGGAGACAGAGGTCATGCTGGTGGAGTTGGGGGGCTAAGGAGAGTCAGCAGAGCAGGAGGATGAGCCAGGGAACTGGATAGAACAATGACCAGTGGAGGAGGAAGAAATTCCAGGGTGGGCACTAGGGTGGGTAGGAACTCTAGTAATATCAGAAAATATCAGTAATATCAGATAACCCCCCAAACCCCACTCAGTTCAAATTGTACTTGAGTAAAGTACAAATCCCCTAAAATAATACTTAAGTACAGTAATCGAGTAATTTTACTTGATTACTGTATTTAAGTATTATTTTGGGGGATTTGTACTTGACTCAAGTATTTTACACCCTTGGGGACTTATCTGGGTAGCATACCACATGTGCTTGATCTTAAGGATCATGTGTATGGCCCTCGATTGAACGATCCCCCCAGGTGAGGAGGAGGATTTACACTCCTGGTAGATTGATGGTAGGTCCATTCTTATGACGATTGGGTGTTGTCAAGAAGAGTTGAGGCATGGATATAATTGCAAGCATTATTTTAATAGTCAAATAAATAAATATAAATAAAAATAAAATAATATTTAAAAAAATAAAAAAAATACTGGAAACACTTGGAAGACCAACCAACGTAATAACAACTGAAACTGCGGGCTATAAATACACAGACTAAATGAGGAATTAATAAGGCACAGGCAACCAAGGAAACAGGAACTAAACACCGGAAATGAGAAAAGAAGAACAATGAAAAGAAACTGAAATCAAAATAACAGTCTCTGAACGGACTGTGACAAAAAGGATGTTTAGTCAAATCTCGCCTTTAATTTAAAATTAAATTGACACCCCTGGCCTAAGACAATGCATGTGTTCTACACATACAATTGAACTTGATGTGCTGCCATGGGATATTATAAAATAATGGTTGCAATCAAAAAACCTATGCAGGGGTCTTATTTAGAATATTTTAAACTTGTGTGTCAAAAAGGGTTAATAGAACATGGCACATGAATCCACTTCAATTGTTATGTATTATTTGCTGTGCTTGTATTATGAGGACTCTTAGTTTGTATTTGGCTCAGTTCTTGTTTCCTGTGATCCCCTTATTTCTTGATTGTTATCACCAGTGTCTTGTTTGTTTAATTAGTTCATGTGTAAGCCATAATACTTCCTGTGTTTTTAGTCTGGTGTTGAGTTTAATTGATGTTGTGCTTGTGCTCTTATTTCTTGTTCCTTGCATCCTGAATTTCTGCTTTTTTTTTCTTCTTAAATTTAACTGCATTTGGATCCAGATGTCTCTCGTCTCTGAGTACACTGACACGCATCAATATTTTACTTTCTAATCTGTGTCTATGGGCCATAAACACAAACAAGACAATTCAGAATATATGCACTGACACATTAGAATACATCATAGAGAAGTTGTTTCAAGGGCATTTTAGTGCAGCAAATCTGCTGCAGTCATAGTCTGCTGTCTTCACAGGGGTGTACTGCAGTGTGATTTTCAGTCTCATTGGTATCAGCATTCTGGAGACCATCCTTGTCAATTTTCTGATGGTTAGAGGAGCTGAGAGGAGATCAGTTGCATCAGTGGAAACTACATCTGCTGTTACTGCCCAAGATGGTAAGAATCGGCACTGCATTTGATTATGAGGAATATATTTGGATTCTTAGATGTCAAGTGCTACCCTAAACAATTACTGGAGTCAAATGGATTCATGCATGAATAACAACTACCTTAAGTACAAGTTAGTAAATGTTAGTTAATGTATTAATTTACATTGAACTAAATGGCTAAATAGACCATATGTAGCTCCACTTCTTTTCAGCGCTGTGCTTGTTGTCTTCTGTATTTCGTCTGTATTTCCACGGCATGAATGTAAGGTCATATAAATTTATGAATGAACCGCTTGTTAAGTCTTCCCAGTCTACTGACATTTGTTATGACATCTGCTTCAAACAGCACAATGGTCAATTTATTTTTTTACAATCCTTGCATGTATTAGTATTATTTTGACATTATTTATAGTTATCCTCTTTACAAAATGTAGAAGGAACACATAGTAAGTCAGAAGAGTAAATGTATGTTTTAAATTGTTGGGTGCTTTTCTCAAACCAAGGAATTCACATCAACCTAACCCTTGAAGACATGTAATTCTATACTATTCAAGTGTCACATAGGGAAGTCCTTCAATCATTTAATATTTCAAAGAATAATATTAATTAACAACTTAATAAACCATTTGAAAGGATATATATTAAAGCTGCAATGGATTCCAGAATCCACCCCTTTAAAAGTCACAGATGAAATTCAGTTGTTTTTTCTATAATAGTCTCAGCAAAGATTGCCTATCAAGGAACTGTATATAAGATTACACAAAACACAAGAAATATAGCATTTGTCAGGAACCAAGTTTTGTATTTCTTCTCATAGACGGTGTCAGAGACCTGCAGAGCCCTCCAGATTCAGTTAGAGATCAGACTGAAGACCAATCTTGTATCCTTGACCTTCTAAAGCAGATCCTCTCTGAGTGCCGGGCTGCAACTCAACACAACCAACGAGAGAAGACATCTCTGTGCTGGACCAGAGTGGCAAGAATCATAGATGTGACCTTCTTCATTCTTTACATAATCACCATTATTGTGTTTCTGTGTGTGCTTGGGAAGGTTTGGGGACTATATTGATGTCTTGCATAAAATGACAATCAATGCCAACTTTTATTGTGAGTTTAGAATTGTTAAGAAGAGGGGTTCGCAACTCTTACTGCAGAGTTTAACTCCAAACCTGATCAAACTCACTTGCCTGCAACTTTCTAGTAATTCTGAAGCTCCTGATTAGCCTGTTCAGGTATATTTGATTAAGGTTAGAGTTAAACTCTGCAGGAAAGACTTTGAGGATCAGAATTGAGAACTCCTGGTTTAGACTTTTAAAAGAATAGAGATTGGTGGTGACAGCTCTAAGGATCTAATTTGAGAATTTAAATAGCAAGATGTGTTTCTTCTAGCTTCTATAGAGCAAATATTTGTGTTGTTTAAATTTGTTCTTTCTTTATTCATTACTTAATTGAAAGCAAATTTAAAATACCATCACATATACCCTCTCAGTTGATTAATCTGAATCTTGTTTAATCTGGGTATGTTGGTTCCAAATTACCTATGAATAATTAGTTCAATTAACCCCCTATATGCAGTGCATATCTACTTTGCTGTTGTGCAATGATTTTTTAAAATCTTATACTTTTTTCTCTTCTCCCTTTCTCCATGCCGAACGTTGGTGCACTGTTAAAAAAAAAAAAAAAGAAAGAAAGAAAAAAAAAAAATACATGGCAGCACAGAGTGCCAAACATTTACTATTAATGGAAATAATGGTAAAAAAAAATAAATAAATGACTGGCAGAAGCAGCTGCCAAACAAAAACTGTAAAATTAAGATAAAATATCCAAATTTATATTCAAATTTTTCTTAAATGTTTTACAAAAAAAAAAGAGTTAGTTCCCTTTCATGGGAACTTCGAACTGCGTCCTCTAGGGG